TACACTTAGCCTAATATCCTACAGGTTAATTCATTTTGTAGTGTGTGTCAGAATTTCTTTCCTTTTCAAGGCTGAATAATATTCTATAGTATGTATGCACCACATTTTATCCATCAATAGACATAAGATGCTTCCACCTTTTGGCTACTGTGAATAATGCTGCCATGAATATGAATGTACAAATATCTTTGGAATTCTTGCTTTCAAGTCTTTTGGGTAAAAACCCAGCAATTGAATTTTGGGTCATATGATAAATCTATTTTTAATTTTTTGAGGAATAGCCATTCTGTTTCACAGCAGATACACCATTTTACACTCCCACCAACAGTGCACAAGGGTTCCAATTCTTTCTCATTCTGGCCAATACTAGTTATTTACTATCTTATCTAATAAAGAGAGAATATGCAAATTGACTGTCACACCGTAACTGTCAAGATGGCTACACCCACAGCGGAGGCAGGGATTACATAACACAAGATGGCTGCACCCATAGCGGAGGCCAACTTCCTGTAATGAGCCTTTACAAGCAATCAGCAGGGACCTGTGGCTGCATGGTGCTGGGCCGGGGCAGGGGACCTGAGGCTGCGCCTCCCACCCGGCAGGGCTTGACAAGGGTGGGGCCGGCCAGGTCTGGATCTCGCCCAATGTGGGTGGGGCCAGCTGGATCTGGGTCTCGCGTGATTTTGAGGAGCCGTGGGTGTGAGGAGACTTGACTCTGGGTCCTGCAGCACACCCCAGACTCTGACAGGAGGAAGATTTTCATATACATCTTACTAATTTTTCTTTCATCTCTGACACTTCTATTATAGAGAAAGGGCAAATAGCAATATTAAAATATTTCCTCTAATTAATCCCCTTTAATGTGCATGAATTTCATGCACTGGGCCACTAGTTTTTATGATAATAGACATCTTGATGGGTGTGAAGTGGTATCTCATTGTGATTTTGATTTATATTTTTGTATTAATTAGTGATATTGAGCTTCTTTCATGTGCTAATTGGTATATGTCCATCTTCTTCAGAGAAATGTCTATTCAAGTCCTTTGCCCATATTTTTTAATTGGAGTGTTCTCTGTTACTGAGTTGTTGGATTTATTTAAATATTCTGGATGTTATAATTCCTCATCAAATACATAATTTAAAAATATTATTTTTTTCCTATTCTGTGGGTTGCCTTTTCACTCTGTTGGTAGTGTTCTTTGATGTGCAAGAGTTTTAAATTTTGATTAAGTCCAATTTATCCATTTCTTATTTGTTGCTTCTGCATATGGTTTCATATCCAGAATTCACTGCCAAATCCATTGTCATGAAAGGTTTTCCTATATTATCTTCTAAGCGTTTTATAATTTTAGCTTTTATATTTAAGCTTTGACTCCCTTTGAATTAATTTTTGTAAATGGTTTAAGGTAGTAGTCCAACTTCATTCTTTGGCAGGTGGACATCTAGTTTCCCCAGCATCCTTGCTGAAAATACTGTCCTTTCCTGTACTGTCTTGGCATCCTTGTTGAAAATCATTTGACCATATATGTGAGGGTTTACTTCTGGGTTCTGTGTTCTATTTTTTTTTTTTTATTGTTTAAAGTATTACAAATAGTAGTATATACTAGTATGTCTCCTTTTTCCCCCATTGCCCTCCCCCCTGCCTTCCCTGCCCCCAGGCACATGCCCTCACCCCTCTAGTGTCTGTGTCCTTT